CTAGGATATAATTTTAGTTATAAAACTATTTAAGATAGAAAATTATACTATCTTAGGTTATTTTATTCCTATATATGCAGCAACTTTGGTATAATAGTCAGACTTGTTTATTTTTATTGTTTTAATAGTTTTTTTAGGATTATTTAATTTATTTTGGGTTTAATTGTAAGTGAGTCCATATCAACCCACAAGTTTTAGATCCATTAATCATTGTTTAAGGTTTATTATGTATGATGGGCTTTAGTTTTAGTTGGGTTTTGTTATGGGTCTTTAGTCTATGATCCATTAGTGTTATTATGATTGTTTGTTTAATCTATTTATGTTATTTATTGTTGTTAAATTTCAGCAACCATGAATTATTGAATAAAGTTGGTGCCTTGCTTGAAGCAACATGTTTTTCTCTTTGTTTAAATAAATAACAACAGAACTTACCAAAGTATTACCTGTTTTTTTATGTTCTTCCTATATTTTGGGTTCCTGATTCTTTATAATCAACATGTCTAAGTCAATTCCAATATCTTTGGTTTTCTAATATAAGGTTATCTTTAAGTCAAGGTTTCATCTCAAATCTGAATTTTAGCCTTTTGAGTTTGTTATTTACTTCGTTGTGGGTTTTTGAATCAATATATTTACAAGGTTTGTATCAAAAGTAGATTAATGCTCAATAATTTTTTATTTGATTTCATTTTGAGATTTTAGTTCATCTAAATATGTTTGGTGATTAAAATAGAATTTTAAAGGTCCATATGATATTTTTTTTCCATATTTTTAGGTTAAAAAATATATTAAAACTTTGATTTTTGAGTTAAAAAACTTATAGCCTGATTTTTTGATTAACCTTAAATTCTATGATTGTAAAATAGTGTAGGAAGATAACATATTGTGCTTTCCATTTAATAAAAAATAATAGGGACATATTCATCTATTTATTGAAAAAACCTGGTGAGCATGCCTAGCCATCTAGGCTCAAGCTCAAGAACACTTACCTTTTTAATTTTATGCTAGTCAACCAAGCTCATTCTTTTAGCTTAGGCATATTTAATATATTTTTTAAATGATTATTATTATTTTTATTTTATAATAAGATTCTTTTTAATTTATTTTTATTTGAATGACATTTAAAAAACTATTTGATTATGCCATAGTTTTCAAATAATATTAACATAGTTTTCAAATAATATTAAAGCTTTTATGGTGGTAATATTAGCAATTATTTTATGAATAATAATATATAATGTGCAAAACTTATTAAAAACTTTACTCATGAATATTCATCTTGAATAAAGTATTGTTTAATTTTTTTATAAATTTATTACTCTTATAGTTTTAGATAAAGTTGTTGTAACCCAATTTTGGATTTACTAAGATTTTCTTGAATGCTATTTTATTTTATTATTCATAAAATAATAATAATAAAAAATTTAAAATATATTTTTCTCGGGTCAACCGTATCTTTCGATCAAAACCGAGTCCACCGAGTCAATACGGGTTAAACCATGTCGACTGGGATAAAAAATAAATTTCGGGCCATTTTGGGTCAAAACCGAGTCCACTGGGTCAATATGGATCCCACCATGTTGATTAGGATAAAAAATGAGTTTCAGGCTATTTTTGGTAATTAAAAACCCGATCCACTGAGTTGATACCCATATAAAGGTTTTTTTAGTGTTCCAACATAATTTTTGGTAATTAAAATTAATGTTTAGCAGTTAAAACGAGCTTTTTCTAATACTAATTTGAGTTTTTAGTTTTACCCCTGTAAATATTTATTATTATTATATATAATAAAACAAAAAAAATAATACATCTTTTGTCACAGTAGACGGAGGATTTTTGTCGATGGTAAGCGGTGTAGTTGTAACATTGAAATTTTGCACATCACAAGATTTTATGTCTCCTCTTCATTGGCTATAAATAGCCAGTGAAAATAAGCCAGAGAAAACCTGAGAAAGAAAGCTTATTATTTATTTTGTTATTATTCATGTATTTTCTACTTTTTCTTCACGCGAGTAATATATTGATTTAAAAAAAAACCGTTTAAAAAATACTAAAAATATCCTAACCGTTAGATCTAATAGTGTTTAATTCTGGGCCTTTGATTTAATAAGATACAATAGGGCTTACTACACTAGATTAAAACTCAAATCCATCTCAGCCCTTAAAACAATCTGCCCTTCGATCTTGTTGTGCCACGTCATCAAGTGTACCAAATATTCAGTGCAACCCGCCACACCAGATCAAAGCTCAGCCCATCCGGACCGTCCGATCAACTTGCAGATCAAGCCAATCACAACCGAAGGATCAGTTCATCCGCGATCCAGCGGTTTACAGCCTTCAGTGGCACCGGTGCACCATGCTCGTTTTCACACCGTAGCGTCATCTCGGAGCCTCTCTCTCCTCTCATCGGCGATTCTCTCTCTCACCCGATCCCCCATTTCCAGCCGTTTTAAGCCTCCAAACCACCACAAAAAGGTGAATCGCCCCCTCATAAGCAAAACGCCGACAGTTTTACGTGTTTCCTCCACCTCATCGGGCCGGAAAAAGGCCGCGCTTTTCATCGGCCACCCAAAGCTTCAAACCGACGATTCTCCCTCATCAGTCATCAATGGAAGTCGAAACCACCGTCATCAGAATCCTCTCCCTCAGATCTACCAGAATCAATCATTTGTTTGTCGGAATCTCATCGGAAAATTTCATCACCTCCAACAGTAACCGTGCGTGAATCACACGCGTCGTCAAGGGTATTTTTGTAAATTTCTGTGAGATTCAAGGGTATTTCAGCCTTTTATCTATACAGTGGCACTTAGGTAATTTTTTATGATTTTTTATGGTATTTTTGATATTTTTATATATAAATACTTGTAAAATTTTTTACATGTTAAAAAAAACAAAAAAAACCAAAAATAAATATAAAAGGAATAAAGACACGGGTCCAACAGCCATCTTATTATGTCAACGTTCGTGGGTTCAAAACCCGATTCTCAGGTATGGATATATCCATTTCTCAATGATATCAAAATAATTTTTGTTTTATAAATAAATATTATTTTTCGACACGTCTCTTTTATTTATAGAAAAGGACCGATGTCAAAAATTTAAATACCAAATATGGATTATGTCTATTATTTCTTTTGGTAACCCAAATGTAATTCTCCTTTTTAGGGATAAACGTCAATATTTTAGATGAGTCTCCTATTTTTTAGGGACTGATGTCATTTTTGAAGTGTCTCCTATGAATATTGTTTGTCTACATGTCTCTTTTATTTACAGAAAAGGACCGATGTAAAAAATTTAAATACCAAATATGGATTATGTCCATTATTATTTCTTGTGGTAACTTAGACGTAACTCTTCTTTTTAGGGACAAACGTCGACATTTTAGACAAAGTCTCCTAATTTTAGGGACTGATGTCATTTTCGACGTATCTCTTATTTTTAGGGACCAACGTTAACCATCTTTTAAAAAAAGACAAATTGCAAATAAGCTTAAAATATAATAGCATTTGAATCAAATAAAAAACACATAGTAAGGGTAACCTTTCTCTAAAAGGATGTTTTAAGGGTGGTATCTACTTTTCCTTAATCATAACTAACCCAGTACCTGAATCTCTAGGACCAGTGTCTAATTATGGATTTCTAGTTCCCTCAAATTACTAGATGGCGACTCCAATAAAATCTTTGTTTCCCTTAATCGAGAAAAAATCTTATTTTTTTTGTTAAATAAACAAAAAAAATAAAGTCGTCGCCCGACGTCGTGTAGCAACAACAGTCATATAAAAATTATCGATTCATGATTTCTTTTATTTTTATTTAAATTTGTTTTAAGATTATGATAAGTTTTTAGTTAAAAAACATATATTTTCATTAAAAAAAAGGACATGTTTTGTTTTAAAAAAAGAAAAAAAATAAACATATTGATAAGGAAAGAGTATTTTGATGAAAGGGATGGATTTTTTTGTCCTTATTTCAAAAAATTAGGGTTTTTTGGATATTTATTTCAATTATCTTTTTTATTTAATAAATCTTATTTCTAATAAAAACAATTATGTTTTTATATAAAAATAAAAAAAGAGAATTTTGTCTAAAAATAATTTCTCTTTGAAATTTAAATAATTTCCTTTCTTACAAATATATATTTGAATTCTCATATAATTAAATAAAATAAATTTAAAAGTGTCTCTCGGCACAAGGTCAAATATTTGCATGTGCAATCTATTTTTACTTCTTATAAAGAAGATAAACTTCTCGTTATAGCTTTTCATTATTAGCCTTAACAACTTTTTTGATGATTTGTCAGTTCATATTTTTTTTAATTTATTTTATTAAAAACAAACATCATCTTTCAAGTTCCAAATTAAAAAGTTTTATGATACCAGATAATACATCCACAATGTCAAAACTTTTTTATTTAATGTTAAAAATTAACTTGAAATTTTATTTGTAACATAGCATTGATGTACTAGCTAGTAGAATGCAAAAACCTCTACACCCCCAAGATAGTGGATATATTTAATTAGTGTTATCGCACGTCCTCGCACAGTGTCTATTGGTGATTTTTTGTTTATTTGCTTGTTTAGTTCTTTGGAAATCGTCACCTAGTATTTCATTGAGGGGTTACTAGAAAACTCGAGTGTACTGGTTTTGTTAGAGATTCACGGATAATGAACTGATTATGGTTAGGAAAGGTATTAGCACCCCTAGTGCATCTTACCCGAGGTAAGCTGCTTCGTAGTTTGATGTGATAAAAACGTTTTAAAGATTTTGTCTTTTCATCAGATATTAAAAATACGACTTACGTGTAAGTTCATAATCCTTTATTATGAATAAATCAAAACATTAAATTCTTTTTTATTCTTTGTGATTTTATCATAAAAAACATCCATAAAAAAAATACAAACACACACATTCACTTTCACTATATTTTTCTTTTTTGGATTTTTTATTTACATCCACATTTGCAAGCTACAAATTATAAAAATTCAAAACTAAACAAAAAATACATTAAACAATTTTAAATTTACAAAATAAACCCAAAAAAATCCAAGAATTGCAGGGAAGGCCTTCTGGAACTGTAGGAATAGTGGTGGCGCGTGGATTCATAAGCAAAGCAATAATGAACCGAAAACATAAAAAAGACAGAAGACATGGTGTCTGTGGCTGAAGAGGGAGACCGTGCGTCTGTGGAGACGGGCAACGGTTCTGCCCATTCTCTAGTCGATGGAGATGAGGCTGTTCTGTGGTGTTGCTTGTGGTCAGTTGTAGAAGATGAAGAAAAGCAGGGGTTGTCTTGGCAGGTCTGTGGTCGTTGCTGTTGAGGAGACCGAAGAAGAAGAAGACACTACTGAGGGGAAGGCTTAGACCAACTGAGAGGAGTGTAAGGCTACTTCGGGTGCAGGGGAATAATGACTGGGATGAAGAGTGAGGGGCTATCTTGTGGCCAACTGTGGTTGGCTGAGGAGGGAAAAAGAAGCCAGAGGGAAAAAGCTGGGGGGGCTACTTTGGCTTTAAAGTAGAGAAGATGGAGAGGTAGCAGCCGATGGGTGGGGTGGCTGGTTGGGTAGAGATAGGTTTAGATTTAGGGTTTATTGTTATTCTCTCCTTTTCAAAATTGCCCCACTTTTTGTGTGTTATGTAAACTAGAATTTATAGGAGAAGTGTGACTTGGTCTTCAAACATGGTCCCTCAACTTTTTCTTTTTCTTTTTTTTTATAAATTTTGATTTTTTTTTATTTTTTTTTATTTTTTAAAAATAAGAAAATCAACGTTGACTCGATGAGAAAAATCAATGATTTTAAAAATGACGCGTGAAAAGTTGAATGCGTTTGAAAGACCTTTAAAATTTAAATTCTTTTGAGACGATACTAAAAATGATGCAAATATATTAAAAAAATATTTTTTGGATTTTCATTGTTTTTTCACTATTTTTAGACTTTTTGAAAATTTTATCAAAAAGATGGGTCAAAAATTGGGTTGCAACAAGTGTATCTCAATGCTTTTTAAGATGGCGTTTAGTTACTATCTTGGAATAGAAAAGACAAAGACAATGAGAATAAAGAAGGCAAGACAGAAAAAGTGATTGTCTTTGTATTCTATTTGGTTACGGTAGATAAATCATAACAAGACACACACACCCCTCTAATATGTATTACTATCAAACTTATATATTTTAAAAATTAATAAGACTTACACACACATACACACACTTTGGTTTATATTGAGTTTTGAAATTAATAATATTATGATGATCATAGTTATAAAACCAATATTGGCCAAATGAGTTGACTCGGGATGTAGCCGACCTAGGGTCTTACTTCGGATCGACCCACGAGTCTAGTTTTAAAACTATAATAATAAACAGTTTTATACTTACATTGACTCTAGTTAACTCGGGTTGACTGACACGACCAAAAAATTGATGTCTTCTCCTAAGTGCAAAAGTGTCGAA